TATATATAATTATTTTTATATCATCTGTACCCACCCCATCCCTCTTCCAAGCCTTGATGCTATCAGTATTTCATTTAATTTTGACAACGTGCTACGATATGGCTCCGAGTCCGCCAATTTCAGCTAAAATCAAACTGACTCAATAGCGGTAACCTTGATGCCGGACAAGGGCAAACTACAGCCCGTGGATGAAATCTAGCCCGTGGGCAGTTTCAGTCCAGTCCAGCCCACCTGTTGACTCAGTAATTAATTACATGTATACTCAGTAATTAATTACATGTATAAATTATAAATGTTGCCATTGTTGGGTTAGTGATTAAAAAACAAACCAAAAAGTATGTATTGAAAATTGATTATAATACTAGTTCCGGCCCTGCGAGAAGCGATAGATCTAATCATGTTATATCTCATGAAATGCCATTGGGTGACATAGTTTGTGCTGTAGTGTCAGTTTTAGTCTCACTTTTGAGAACTTGCGTAGTATGCCGACAGATTTCGCCCAATAATTTTCTCTAAACTGCTTTGCCCCGCGAGATATCTGATTTGGACAACGCTTGCCCATGTCTGTCTTATGATAGCCTCTACAACCACGCCACGTAACGGTGCCACTGCGCCAACAAATTCTAAAGTGCTATTAGATTGAAATGAAATTCAAAATTGTCGGAGTCAGGAGGAAACAAAATATCATAACAAAGAGGAAACTTCCAGTTTTCTTAAAACTGTGAGCAACAACTTGGACTTTGGCTATATCGTAGCGCGTTGACGATATTTATGTAAAATTTCTTTCATAATATTGTATATCAAATGTACTCTATATTTTTCATATGTTTGTGTTTTCTCTATATCGTTGCCTGTCGTTCAGCTCTTATACGTGTGTTTTCGTGTATTTTTAAAAAATATCCCCTTGATATTTTATTGTCATTTTTAAAAACTAATAATATGTATATATTAGCCAACATGATAGACCTATATCTATTTGTATACATGTAGTTTATTCTCAAACGTCTGTGACTACCTGCAATAGCTAGCAGGGTCTCTGAATTCCCTTCCTCCTTAGACGTTAAAAGTCTCCACCATCAGTATCTTCATGACGGACGAACTAGTATTTATAACAATACATGATGTATTTTTATTCTCAACTTTCTACTTTTTTAAACTAATGAAGACGCGAGTTTACGATACATAATGAAGAAAGAGGGATGGGGGGTTAGAGTGGCAATCATCTGTCAGTGTCGTCAGTTTTTACCTAAACAAGAAATGTGGAGTTGACCTACAGTCTCGAGGTCACTATGTGAGCCCGTAAAGAATAGAAGAAGAAAGTGAGCAGGTATAGAGGAGTGAGTGAAAACGTATAGAGGAGTGAGTGAGCGTGTATAGAACAGAAGAAGTAAGTGAGAAGGTAAAGAGGAGTAAGTAAGTGAGTACGTATAGAACCAAAAGAGTGAGTAAAGAACAGAGCAGTAAGTGAGCTGGTATAGAACAGAAGGAGTAAGTGAGTACGTATAGAACAAAAGAGTAAGTGAAGAACATAGCAGTAAGTGAGCAGGTATAGAACAGAATAGTGAGCAAAGCACATAGCAGTAAGTGAGCAGGTATTGAACAAAAGAGTGAGTGAAGAACATAGCAGTAAGTGAGCAGGTATAGAACAAAAGAGTAAGTGAAGAACATAGCAGTAAGTGAGCAGGTATTGAACAGAAGAGTGGGTGAAGAACATAGCAGTAAGTGAGTACGTATAGAACCAAAAGAGTGAGCAAAGAACATAGCAGTAAGTGAGCAGGTATAGAACAGAAGAGTGAGCAAAGAACATAGCAGTAAGTGAGCAGATATAGAACAAAAGAGTAAGTGAGGAACATAGCAGTAAGTGAGCAGGTATTGAACAGAAGAGTGGGCAAAGAACATAGCAGTAAGTGAGCAGGTATTGAACAGAAGAGTGAGTGAAGAACATAGCAGTAAGTGAGCAGGTATAGAACATAGCAGTAAGTGAGTACGTATAGAACCAAAAGAGTGAGCAAAGAACATAGCAGTAAGTGAGCAGGTATAGAACAGAAGAGTGAGCAAAGAACATAGCAGTAAGTGAGCAGATATAGAACAAAAGAGTAAGTGAGGAACATAGCAGTAAGTGAGCAGGTATTGAACAGAAGAGTGGGCAAAGAACATAGCAGTAAGTGAGCAGGTATTGAACAGAAGAGTGAGTGAAGAACATAGCAGTAAGTGAGCAGGTATAGAACATAGCAGTAAGTGAGTACGTATAGAACCAAAAGAGTGAGCAAAGAATATAGCAGTGAGTGAGCAGGTATAGAACAGACGAGTGAGTGTTTGACCAGGACAGTCCCGGTTGTTTCAGCAATACATCTACCTGACCTACACCTACCCCTTGCCGGGTGGTCGCGCCAGCCCCGTGGACTTCCAGAGGGCCGCTTCCGGTCTGACGTCAGAGGAGGTACTCTGCGCATGTCCCTTCTGCTGTGATGTGGTTTGCAGTGCCTCCACCGACCCCCC